GATAGGTTGAGTCCTATGTGTGTTAACTAGTGAATAATAATAACATTACTTGGGGTAATAGCAAATCATCCCAAAACTCAGAAGTTTGACATTATTAGCATTTATTGGCTTAGGAATCTAAAGGTTGCCTGTTAAGTTCTTACAGTCCCCAATAGGCTTCTATCATCAGCTGTACATCAACAAAGGAACTTAACTTGGCCTGCTATGAGTCAGCTCTACTGTGTGTCTCTCCTAGGTAACAGGCCAGCTCAGGTACATTGTTGTGGTAATCACAGAAGGGCATAGAAACACGTAAAACACAGGACTTCTTCAAACTTCTATAAGCAACATAGCTGATAACAATCTGGTAATTAGGCAAAGTAAGTTACTGGACAACAAACAGAACCAAAGACAGCACGAAAATAGATTGAACCTCTTCAGTAAGAAGAACTACAGTACAAGAGAACAAAATTACAATATAAGAGAGACAGTGCTGCACCTATTCTTAACAACCTCCTGTTATGCATTAAAAATTTGTCAGGAAGATGTCTCATGTTAAATATCTTAGTACAACTTTTTAAAAGAAAGAAAGTGATGCTGGTGGCTCATGCCTGCAATCTTAGCTACACAGGAGATTGAGATCTGAGGAATATGATTCAAAGCCAGCCTGGTCAGGAAAGTCTGTGAGACCCTTATGTCCAATTAACAATTAACAATTAAAAAGCCCAAAGGGGAAGCTGTGGTTCAAGTGGTAGAGCACTAGCCTTGCACAAAAGCTCAAAGACAGCACCCAGGCCTAGAGTTCAAGCCCCAGGGCCAGGAAAGAAAGAAAGAAAGAAAGAAAGAAAGAAAGAAAGAAAGAAAGAAAGAAAGAAAGAAAGAAAGAAAGAAAGAAAGAAAGAAAGAAAGAAAGAAAGAAAGAAAGAAAGAAAGGAAAGAAAGAAAGAGAAGAAAGGAAGGAGAGGAAGAAAGAGAGGAAGAAAGAGGAAGAAAGAGAGGAAGAAAGAGGAAGAAAGAGAGAGGAAGGAAGGAAGGAAAGAAGGAAGGAAGGAAGGGAGGGAGGGAGGGAAGGAGGGAGGGAGGGAGGAAGGAAGGGAGGGAAAGAAAGAAAGGATGGAAAGAAAGATAGAAAGAAAGAAAGAAAGAATGAAGGAAGGAAAGAAAGAAAGAAAAGAAGGAAGGAAGGAAGGAAAGAAGGAAAGAAGGAAGGAAGGAAGGCGCATTTTAAATTAGGGGAAAATCTGCATTGACAAAGTTTACAAAGGCAAAGCAAATGAGTAGGAGCTTGTTTCTGTAGAAGATACAAAACATGAGTGCATTGATAAGAAAGTAACTAGCAAAAAAAAAAATAGACAATTGGGAGGAAGAAAGAGAAGGAGGGAACAGAAGGAGACAAGGAGGGAGAGAGAGCAGGCGGAAAGAAAATATCATAAAATAATAATAAACCTTTCAAACATACTCAAATAGAGGCTGGGAAGCTGGCTTAGTGCATGAGGCACTGGGTTTGATTCCTCAGCACCACATAAGCAGAAAAAGCTGGAACTGGCGCTGTGGCTCAAATGGTAGAGCACTGGCCTTGAGCTGAAGAGCCCAGAATTCAGGCCCCAAGACCAACAAAAAATAAATAAATAAATAAATAAATAAAATAGTCTCAACTTGACTCACTCAAGATTTACCTGCATTAAAACAAAGGTTCCATTTATCTACCATCAAATAGGTAAATATAATATTTAATAACTGGTTATGTTAGCAAAGGCATGGAGAAATAGGACTTTTAGATATGAAATATAATTTAAGCTGCTTCTGAAGAGTCTAATTTAGAAATAGGAACCAAAATAAATTTTGCATTCTCATTAAATAGCTAATTGTCCTATACATTAGCTTACATATGAGAAGTGGTACTTATGCAGTATTATAAATTAGAGTACTTTGAAATAGTAGAAGAAAAGTCTACACTGGCTTTCAATAAGTGTGATTATGGCTTAATGATATAAGGGGATACTCTGTAACTGTCAAAATACAATTTTAAAAGACTGAGTTAGCCCTTTAAAAGCAAACACAAAAGGAATGTAGGCTACTAATGCTATTCAAACAGTTTGAGACAGCTCCCTAGATAAATAGAATTAACTTTTGCCATATTAACCTTGCGAAATTAAATTAAATATAAATTTAATCCTTCTAAAAGTTTGCAGTAACATACACATTATGTATTTGCTATTTTTTTTCTGTAAAGTTACATTTGTAAAGAGTGATTTATAAATAACATACTAGTCAACCAAGGTAAAGATTCCTTTTATACCCTTTACCCTTCAATTTGCATTAATTGGGAGCAGCCATGGGAAATAGAGCCAACCTCACCTCAGGTTGATGGCCTAATAAAATGAACTGTTTCATGCCCAGAAATAAATGTATTCCAAATATAAATATGATTCAGTTACAAAACAGATTCTTATGAAACCCCAAAATAACCGCACTGTTAATATATTGGAGCCCCAATTAAAAGTGTGTAAAGAACACACATTCTGAGCTAAAGTTGTCCCAGGGAGGGATTCTCATTTTTGCTTTGAATCTTGTGTAAACAAAACTGGGCAGTCTCCTTTCAGCCTTAAACAAGTCCACAGCTCTCTGTTTTCTAAAGAGAAGAATGCAAAATGGGTCTGTTTAAGTTGGAAGGGTTTAAGTTGGAAGGGTTTGGGCCTTGACCTTGCTTCTTTAAATTGCCTTCATCATGGGGAAATCACTTTGAATTTGTCTGCTTGAAGGATTCTAATTTAGTTTGCTCTCAGTTGGAGACATCATGAATGAGATGCTATGTGTTTGTATTGTAGCAATATTTGGAAGTTACCCTCAGTGACAGTTTTTCAGTTTCTTCTCAGCTATTTAGAGCCCAAGGCTGTTCCCAGGTGTTCATAGTAATGCCCATAACATCAGACTGCCCAAGTAAGATTCCTGGCCAATCTCTTTTTGTTGTTTGCCTTTAGGTAAAATGTTAAACATTTCTCTTTTTTCCTTTTCCTCATCTGGAAAATATGATTGTTAATACTGCCTTATATGGTCACTATGAGGATTAAATTACACAAAACTAGGTGAAAAATTATCACAACCATGCCTATCCAGTGTGCTTAATGAGTGTTATGTATAAAAACATGTATTGTTCATTATGTAAGAATTTTTAGATTATGTTCATGAGCCAACTTTATATATATATATATGGAATATATATGTGTATATATATTCCTCAAAGTCTAAAATTTAAATTCTCAAAAATATAAATTGAAGGGTAAATATTATGTCTATACAAAAGGCACTGCTTATTTTTAGAAATGAATGTCAAAGATAATGATGTGCATTTACTCATAATTGCCATAAAGCTATGATGACGGTTACAAACAAGCTTCTTCTTCTTGGTGTGTTGATTTAATCTTTCAGAATGCTTTTAAGACACTCTGCTCTTCTAAATGTCCCAGCCTCATACTCCCAACATTCCTGGTGGTCTCATAAACAGTGAGAAGAAAGCAAACGCTTGAATCAGAAGGTTTATAGCAAGAGCAATAGACAGAGATTTTGAAGGAAATAGACAAATACAATTCCAAACTCTTTTTCTGTGTTGCTTTTAGGAGGAATTAATAAGAAGCAAGTCCATTTTTCACTACTATGTGTTGCCTTTTCTACATGGAAGAACCCAAATTTGAGGAACCAAGAGTGGAGTACAAAGAAAGTTTACACACACATACACACACACACACACACACACACACACGCATATGCTTGCATGCATATGCACACCCACACATAACCAGCAATCACTTTAATGACATAACAAGCGTTTTTATGGTGCCATAAATGTTGGGTGTTGGGTGAAGAGACAATGACTGAGTATTTATTCGGTGTGGCGGTTGGAAGGAAAGAGCTGCTGTGGATCCACAGGGTAGAACAGCCATGAGTGCTGCTGAGTCAAGTATAGACAGAGATGCCGGCACAGAAACTCCTGTCTCCCCATACTGTTGTGCTGGTTATGTGAATGTGTTTGCGAATACAAGTTTTAAAAATGGCCAGGAGAGAGAGAAACCCATTTATGTTCTGAGTTTAGGTTAAGGTTGTCAAAAGAAAGTATACCTAGGTTGTACTCATATTTTTAAGTCCACAAAAAGAACAAGTATAACAACAAACATTAACAGTTGTCAATTTAGGGTAATGGGAAGTCAGACTTTTTATCTTTTATTAATCTCTGGTCTTCTGGGATTTCTAAATTATGCACAGCCACAGATCATGGGAGTTGTTTGTGTTTTTTTGCTCTTTGTTTGTTTTAATTCTTTACTGTTAGGATGATGTGAAAGGGCACTGAGACCAACAATTCCTGGATGCCCAACTGAGCACTGCAGTTGAAAAGGACCTTTTCCCTTGCAGGAAGAGAAACAAAAGATGTGGGTTATTTGTCTGCCTTTCTAATCTTGTTTATATCGGTGCAGTGTTTTCGGTATGATAGCCCAGAGCAGAGTCTAGACCACTCAGTTGCATCATACCAGGCTCTATACCCTGATGCCTCTGCCCCCTGGTCACCAGTGCCATCTAGCATTGCCTCCAAATCACACACACACACACACACACACACACACAGAGTTTATCTGTTAAGATTTAAACTGGGAACTATCCTCTGACAGGAAGCTGGACTCTTCAGCATGAAATTTCTCATCACTTTGATGTTTATGCCTGTCTCACAGCCAACTTTTGGGAATCCAAAACTCTTAGATTTTGTTTTTGAAACTCTATAGAAAAGTAAGTCTATGGGAGCCACTAAAGTCATTCCGTTTCTGTACTGCTATAAAGTCCCTCCCCCTGAAACTGTCTTCTCCTCAGAATGAGATTTTTATCTAGTCTGTATGCATCTATTCAAAATCAGAGACAGCTCAGAAACTAGACCCTACTTAAACAGATAAATAAGAGCAGGTACAGATTGATCAAATGTTAAAGAACTTAAAAAAAAAACATACATTTATGTTGTGTTTTTTTTTCTTTTCTAGATCTGTGGATTCGTTTCCAGTTGGCTGACCTGCATGGATGCCAAGTTCTGCACATGATTTATGAATAAGAAGGTCAGATGCCAAGCTTGACTATTTGCAAAATCATGATTTTTACTATTAACTGACACTTTTTAGCATTCTAGGAATTATCTTCTTATTATGACATTGCTGCATTTGATTTAACATAGTTTTGAATTGTGTAGGTATTCAAAAGAATGGTGAAAAATTTATTCAGAAGCAAAGTTGGTATGCAGGAAAACTGTGTTCCACAAAGATCCAGCCATCCCCTGTCATATACTTTTATTGAGCTCTAAAATCATTCTAAGAATTAGATAAGCCTTGGTTAGAATAGCCAGAAAAAAGAGGTTCACTATACCTGGGTAGTAGATATCCATTAGTGATAAACTTGGATTCCCCTTTTAGCTAGAGATATGTGTTGGAAAGAATCAAGCACCCTGTTTGGAACATTGGATTATAATTTGGGGCTTGATTTATTTTCATTATTAGAACAACAGTTTCAGTTTGTCTGTGTTTAGGGTTGTGTCAGCACTTTCCTTTCTGTGTTTATTATTTTTAGCAGTTTATAAACTCACCATGAAAAAAAAAAAGCCTTCTGGCACTAGAGTCGCATTCAGGCTTGGCCAGGGTCTAGTGGAGTCCATAGAAATGCTCACTGGCTGCAGGAGTTTGGGTCTTTTGAATGCTGTCTTTGTGCCTTCCCTCACCCATGGCCTCTGGCCTATTGTCTGGGCACCTCAGTTGGGCTAGTGCTATCTGATTGTAACCAGTACTAATATTACAGTGCTCAGCGCCTAGGCCCTCCCTCAGGGAGGCCCAGTCTGGCTGCCTCCGTCTCCCAGCCCTCCAAACCAGTCCCAGCTCTCCTGTCAGAAAATACCATTGGTCACAGATGAAATGTTCATGAAGAAGTAACTATTAAGAACCTTTGAGACCTATGGGTCTCTAACATATGTGTGTATATCATGTTACATATATTGTACATGTAATACGTATCACATATGTTACATACTAAATTTGTATGTGTGTTGCATATTACATATTGTATACATTATATATCACATATATATTAAATGCTTTTCTCCTTTCCCTAATGAAATCTTACAATTTGTAAAGTACAGAAAAGGACTGCCGTTCCCTCCCTTCAAAGTCTCCACTCCTAAGCCTCTTTCTTCACTCCCAATCAAGGTGATTGCTGATAACTCCGACCCAACCTAGAAACCTAGGATACCTCACAATACCCACAAGTGTTCTCACCGGGAACTTCCACTTCTTGTTTACAGATGACAAAGCTAAGGAAAGACTTCTATACAGGCTCAAAACATGGGGGATTAAACCCAAGAGTGCACAGTATGTTAATCGATTTTTGTCTAGTTTTGGAAAAGGCATAACTAATCCATAGTAGTAGCAGTCAAACCCATCATTACCTCAGGGAGGAAAGATGATGATTGATGGGCCAAGGGCAGGAGGGAGTTTTCCAGAATGAAGAAATGTGTGGTGTATTTTTATACAACTATGGACTACATAGCATTTGTCAATACTCATCTGCGCACTTTTCAATGACATTTTCATTGGCAATAAAAATAAAGAGGGGAAATAATGCAGAAACTCAATTAGGCATATAACAAATGAGAATACTACAACTATGTATTGGAATTTGATCTGCTTTCTTCAAGTTACCCGATCTATGCATTGATTTGAGCCTGAGGTCATTATAAATAGCCTCTGACGATCAGAGACCCCGTGTTCTTCCTGTTCTCCAACCTAATATTCTATCTGAGCATTCCATGCAATGGAAGCACTAACTAATATGAGAGTCTTCTGGCGAAGGACGGCTCAGTGTGTCCCAAGGAGGCTCAGGTGTGGAGTCCTGGGTCCAATGCTTGATTCCACTGGCCAAGCATCACTGCCTTCCCCTTGTATCACAGACTGAGCTTTAAGGGCTCCAAGAAGCACCTTAAAAGTCTTTGATGAGAGCAGTGCTGGTGGGTGAGGATGAGCCAGGTCACCCACCCAAGAAGCAGTTTGTTTTCCATCTGTTGGCTACTGGATTTTCTATCTGATTCCTCATATGTAATGTGTTCCACCAGAGGGGAAAAAACACATGACAAGCACAACAAACACATCAGCCAGATAATATAGAATGAGACCCTTTTTTTCAGCACACTCTGCTTGTGTCCCCTACGCTATGCACATAGATAAGGGTCCAGGTCTGGCATATTCAGGACTATTCTACAGGTTCCTACTGATCCAAACTCAGTGCAAAAGTTAAGGATAGTCTTGGTGTCTAGATCTTCTGAGCCTCTTTCCAGAATTTTGGACCATGCAGAATATAGTAAAGATAAAATAAAGTAATTAAAATAACAGGAAAAGGCCTAGTGCTCCTGCATATTCTGAGCAAATATATACAGTGCCATGTTGATGGTTGATGGAGAAGTGATATGCCACAGTGAGACTCTGAACAGCAGGAATCCCAGAAGAAGCTGGCTTTTCATTTGGGATTGTCTATTGTGCAGTAATGTCCCTTTCTTTATTTTCTTGTAGTCTTTTGACATGTACTATTAATAATAGAGAAAATTTCATTTCTAAAAGCTCTTACTCCTATGTATCTGAATGCTTTTTCAGTGTGCTGTAAAATGTAAAAGTCCCCTCACATGTCATAGCAGAATAGAACGTCTGATGACTGAGGCTTCCATGATACTTACAAATCAGGCTGTTGGTAGATTCGATGTTTTTCTTTCGGGAGGTATCAACCACTATCAAATAAATGCTCTTGGACCTGCATTCTTGCCAAAGGCTTCCAACAAGCACCTTTCTCTTGTTTTGAAACAATCCAGAAGCCAACCTTCCCCTTTAAATTAAAGCTTATTGGGGGAAAAAATGAAATGAAAAGAGCAAGGGAAAATGTTTTTGAAAAGGAAATGATGACAGGGTTGGGAAATGGCAAGGAAGAGTCATGTGGAGCCGGCGCAGGAAGAATTTGAAGATACTCAAATGTTCCAGTCTTTGAGGCTGTATTACTTTTCTTCAGAAAGGACAAACTGTCTACTCCTTGAGTGATTTCCCAACAAAGGGCAAAAGCCATGCTCACCCCCAACACAGATCCACATTAGCACAAATTTAGTTCGCTTACAAAGGAATGGTAAAACTGAGTCATCAGTAAAACAAATTTTTTAAATAACCAGGACATTTTTTTAGCCCACACATACCATGCTTGGCCTACACGTGACACAAATTTCCTAATCAAACCAAATTTAATTTAGCAGGAGATTTTCTCCAACTAGTTTAGATTAATGTGCATGACAGCAGAAATGAAATTATATCATGTAGGAGTTTGAGAAGAATTTGCTTTTTTTGCAATTTCATTTAAACGGACTTTCTTCAAGACATCCAGAATCAACATAACCCATTGGAAAATACCAAGAGAGAAATTATATGTCTTCATCATTCCAGGGACTTTAGGCAAATGATTGTCCTAGAGCCAAAGTTTTGGAATTTTTTCTAATTTTTCTCCCCTTTCTTCCTTCCTTCCTTCCTTCCTTCCTTCCTTCCTTCCTTCCTTCCTTCCTTCCTTCCTTCTATCCTTCCTTCTTTCCTTTCTCCCCACTGATGATGCAATCACTTATAAGTGATTTCACAAATGAAAAATATCCTGGTTAGAGATGTACCTCTTTTTCCCATTTTAGAACTGTTTCTTACAGCAGTGCTATTGAGCTGACAGAAATGTAACAATTTCTCTCTTGTGCATGTAATTTCCATTGTCTGTATCCAGACAAGGAAAGCAAAGGGAAAATGGAGCAGTGCCTGAAGACTCCATTATCTTGAAGACAGGACTAGACTTTGGCTGAGATCTGTGAGGCTGTAAGCCCCATTTCTAGGAAAAGAAGCAATAGATTGAAATTAAATCTGCATCTTATGTTGGGCAAATATATCCTGTCGAGAGAATAAATACTATTTGGAACCTGTCACAACAGAAAACCATTCATAACAGTGGGGTAAACAAACAGAGATTTCTTTTTCTTTGCAGAGCCAGAGACACGTTTCCATGATTATCAGGCACTAAAGTTACCTTGCTTTTGTCTGCATCAACATTCCTAGTATACAACCTTATCTTCCATGTTTCCTGTCGGTTCAAGATAGCTGCTAGAAGTCTAACCTTCCTGTACAAGTTCTAGACAAGAAAGATGAGTGAGGTGGATAAAAGACATCTATGAACAGTCACTTTTTTTTTGTATTTTTTGTTTTTCCCTATTTTAAAGGACCTTACCAGAATTCCCAGCCACCAACTACCTGCAATCTTATTCACTGACTCCTAGTTGCAAAGAAAGCTGGAAAGTGTAGCCAGGCACCCAGAATAAAGGTGAGATATGGTTATAGAGGAATATTGTGGAGATCCCTAACAGACCTGGTTCCTACAAGCTTAGAGGCCCTTCTGAAACGAAGCGAATACAGTCAGGGAGGAGATTAGAGGAGTTGATCTGGTAGCAGGACCTCTTGGATATAAAGGAAAGCAGTGAATGTGTTTAAGGACTTCAGTTTGTGGTGACAAGCTTTATATTAATAAACAGTATCAGGGGCTGGGAAGGTGGCTCAGTGGTACAGCGCTTGCCTTACATGCATGAGGCCCTGGGTTCAATACATCAGCACCACATAAGCAGAAAAAGCCAGAAGTGGCACTGTGGCTCAAGTGGGAGAGCGCTTGCCTTGAGCTGAAGAGCTGAGGGACAGCACCCAGACCCAGAGTTCAGGCCCCATGATCGACAAAAAAATAAACAGCATCAAAGCCAGGAGATAATAAATGTATGTAATTGTATTTGTGAAGAATGCATAGGACACAGATAATGTGTTCATCCATTAGCTATTCTCAAAACAAGGTTCAAAAATATTAAAAATGGGGAAAAAACCAAAACTTTGTTTAAACACACATGTACATACATATGTACACTCATCGAGTATAAATATATACCAGGGTCAACACAGGAGAGACATCAGCTAAGCTTCTAGGAAAGGAACAGGATAAACAAAAGAAGTGCATAAATGTATTTCTCTGTAGA